GAGCTTCAATTTCCGGAGCTCATTCCTACATGTCCTAGCCTGATTCATCAGCCGGTTTCAGTTCATAGAAACTGTCTGACCTCACAGCGTTAGAATTAATTCGCTTGACGGTAGGCGGGTAGTTTTCTTTTATTTAACCAGTCACTGCTATGGTCGTGACATATGTAATGCGCCTCTAATGGGGATAACTGGTATATTAAGCTGGTATATTCCCAAATCCTGTTGGAAGAAGGGCAATAACATCTTTCCCCTTGATAAAATTCATCAAACATTCTCTTTGTTCTGGCTTTAAATCCTCGATCTCGGGAATTGTTGCCAACACAGAATGTATGAGTCTTCACTGATTGGCTGGTGTCCGAACTCGCACTTCTGGGGTTCTTACAAACCGTCTAGTGCAGGGCTGGGCAAACTACGGCCCGGGGGCCGTATGCGGCCCTTTAAACCTTTTAATCCGGCCCGCCGAACTGGAATAAATTACAATAATAAACCTTGTTGATGTTTTATTTGTCATGCATTTCCAGCGTTTCCCAGTAGATGGCGCACTATATATACATTGAGTTGCGGCGTATTATGTTGTCCGCAATGCTTTATGGGAAAGTGTTCTTACAGGAGTTATTCGGACCATGAGTGAAGTAGTTGGTGCTTAAGATATAAGACTGCACTGCTTCCATTTTGAGATGGTATAAATCAGTCAAAGACATGTATGGACTGTGAGTTGTGATTATTAATGTGTACAATATTTTGTAGTCAGGTTTTACCACACTCACAGTTTATCTGTGTTTGAATGGCGTGAGCTTTATTTTAGAGCTACCAGTCATATTCGGAAACAGCGAACTCGCGATATATATTCACTCGTGATGTGCAGTGGTCTGAACAGGTTTGTATGTACTGAATCTTTCACAGTAGTGATGAAGCGTGTAGCGCGCCTCTGAAGTCCTAGATAAATGTGAATAAGAATGTAATGAATCTGAGCTCTTAACACGTTATGTCCTGTCTTCTGTCCGGCCCTTCAGTCAAACTTCAGGACCCTATGTGGCCCGCGAGCCAGAAAGTTTGCCCACCCCGGTCTAGTGTATTCCGATTCCTGACCTAGTCGCTAGAGAGAAATGAAATTGAGCGGAGGCACGAGGTGGCACCAGCCTGGCTATCTATGTCCCACCACAATCAACAACTCTGTTTCTACAGTTTGAGATGGTCACCCAAATTGCAATATTTGTTATTTTTACTTGTACACCTTATTTTACATCAGTCTTTTGTTATTTCTGGTAATTATTTAAAACATATTATACCATTTCTCTTTTCTCATTTGTTATTATAATGCTGTAAGCTACTGTGTCTAAATAATTTCCCTTGTGGGTCAGTAAAATTTGTCTAAGTCTAAGTCTACATAATAACAACCAGCCTGACCCTACTCATGGCTTTCAGCTTTCTGTTATATTTTGAGAGCAGTTATCTTTTCAAGACATATACTCAGTTTTGAATTGTTAATTGCTAAGGTAACAGCCCTAACTTTTCATCATTCTGAAATCCATGGATAAGTATGGTCAATCTGTAACTAAGTTAGGCAACAGTAACAACACTTTAATCTGGAGTAGATATGATTTCACTGTGCAGGCAGCCGGGACATTCATTGAGCCAGTTTTATGAGCAGCTATACAAGGCAGTGTGGCAGTAACACAGCACAGGACCTGTCCACTGACCTAATGGGTTTCTGTGTTAGTTGACTGCATCACAGGAATTTACATCTATTTTGGTTTTAGTTTGAGCCACAGGGATAATTACCAAGGAACAGCGTGATGTTTGGGTTTGCGTTGTTGCAAAAATAGCTGTGACTAAGATTTCAGAATGAATGAATGGAAAAGAGTGCTCAGCAATGTTGATGTGAGAAAAAAGGGACTGGGTTTAAGATTTTGACAATATTATGATATTTAAGCAAATTCATCTCTAAAAAGGAACACAAATGTGTCCTTCATTTTGGTTTTACAGGATTTTTATTTATTTATTTATTTATTTATGTTGTGACTCAACTTGCACCTTGAGCCAGTCATTCAAACTGCACGAAGTAGGTCAATAAAAAAAATATTTTCCATTCAAGTGTTCTGGCCACATAAGAATTTAATGTTATTTTCATGACATGTACTCCTGAAGTTTATAGTCACTGATGTATATTTACTTTTAAAGGCCTTTGAGCTTTAAGCCATGTTGTTACCTCATCAAAAACACTTGGTTTTGTGTTTTGTTTCATTCACACATGTTTGAGTCATCCTTCATTACTAGTCTGTCTACATCTCCAAAGCTCAAAATATTCTGTTCCATCTTGTGATGTCATGAAGTGGCAGTTTTCAAGTTAACAGCCCCTTTTACCTGTGGTGAAGTACAGATTGAAATTTCAGAGCTGAAATTATCCAAATGATTCTAGTGAAGGTGTGCTTAAAAAGTGTTAAAAGAGTGTTTTCTGTTTGAGAGAAGAACCAAAATATGCAGAGTTTGTGTGTTAAACGTGTGAACAAAATAAAACAAAACTTGTTTCTTGGACATGTTTTTTTAAGGAAAAAAACGTTATAACATAGATCAGAAAATAGCGTAATATAGGACCTTTAAAGCAACTGTATGAAGTCTGCTCACTTGCCATTTTAAAAAAGTATTACAGTCATTCACAACTGAACCTTGGTAGCCAGTGCCTAAACCTGCAGACACATACAAGTTTTTCTCAGTATACAGAAAAGTTGAAAACCTCCAGAATTCACTCATTGAGCTACAAAGGTTGCACTAGCACTAGGGATGTAACAATAACTGAAATATCGTGATATTGTATTGTCAAAGTTCTCACAATAATATCATGGACCATCACAATATATCGAATTACAAGTCTCTTTGCTTAAATTAAGTGCTATGGTGCAACAAAACTAAAAAAAAATACAGAGGGAACTACATAGACCATGATCCTTTGCTCCATTTCAGTGCAGACTACATGAAGAAAAAACAGTTCTAAGCACTTTAAAGTCGTATTTCTTTGGATTAAGTCTTGTCAAGGTATTTTAAGAGGAAAAAGTAGCATGCTAACAGTTGTTAACCTCCACAAAATATCGCAATAAATATCTTACCGTGAGATGGATATTGTGAAAACATTGTACCGAGAGATTTGGATATTGTTACATCCCTACTTAGCACTGATCACTGATTAATAGTGAAGTGTGGGACTTTAGTTAATAAACATTCAGATCAGAGAGTTTTTTTTGAGGTTTAAACCAAATGAATTTCAGCATTGAAACTGGCAACCCATATGAAATGTGAAAAGCTGTACTTGCTTGAACATGTCTACCTCATATCTTGATACACAGTAATAAGTCAAGTCTATGAAATGTATCAATCTTCCATCCACTCACTTTTCTCAGTAGCCACACTATTGTATCATCTTCACTATTGTGTATTGACTGTTTGTACTTCCCGTAACTCTTCTTTCTTGGGGGTCTATGGTTCTCTGAAAGTGCGTGGGTGATTTCACAGAAGCTCAAGAGAAGTCCAAGCCTCCTGTGGTTTTTCACTGTAATGTTTTCAAATAAATGTCCACAAGAAAAACATGGCCAGACCCGCCTATTAACCACTGAACTAGGGCTGTGTCAAATCACTTACAGTTGCATAATAAATCAGCTTAGACTAATGCTGGAATAATTTTAAGGAGATTTAATACACATCCGGCCAATCAGCAGTGAAAGAGGGCTTAGCACATGAATGACGAGGACCAATGTAATTATGCACAGGTTAATTAACAGGGAGATCCCGTTTGAAGCAGGTGAAGGACGGGCAATGACGAAAAACCATGACTCAACCCATATTACAAACTCAAGGGTATAATAATTACTACTGTATCCTGAACCAGTTGATTTGAAAGTACCAGTTAATTAAAATAGAATTACCGGAACTAGGTTATTAATTTAAGTGTTGTTTTCATGTTTTCGTCTTCTTTAAGCCCATAAACCCCCAAGATGCCCAATCACCAAAGTCTAAAAACTGATGCAGCAATCGAAAAGACAATATAAATTTATCTAGATGTGTCTGATTTGTTTCTTCTTTGACCAATTTTATGCCTTCACTTTGTATTTGTGCAAGAAAATATTTTATAATTTTGATCAGTTATGTTTTCCTTTTGCCTATGCTCTTTTAATCCTGTCCTCTATTAATTATCATTTTTTGAGTTGCCAAATACAAAACAAACAAAAAAAAACCCAAACACTTTTGAGTTAAATAACCAACCTAACTGATCATTACGGTTGATTCAATATAAATTATCAATTAAGATTTACATAGAATAAATGTATCACTGCTATCCAGTATTAAAGCAATATGTTATAGTTGTTTACCTCATCAAAAACATACCTGGAGTTGTGTTTTGTTTTATGTACATGTTTAACATACAAACCCTGCATATTTAGGCTTAGTTTTTCTCTTAAATAAGCAACAGAGGAAGTGCTCCACTGTGTTTTTAAACTCCATTCCCCAGCACTAGAATCATTTGGATAATTTTAGCTCTGGAATTGCCAATCCCTAAGGAATAAAAGGTAAAAAGTCAAGGTGGAACAGAACATTTTGAGCTTTGGAGGTGTGCACAGACTAATAACAAGGGATTACTCAAACATGAATGTGTGTGAATGAAACACAACACAAAACACAGGGTATGTTTTCGATGAGGTAACAACATTCTAACATAGCTTAAATCTCATAAGACAGTTTTGTATAATTTGTTTAGTTAAACAAACAGGAAGTGACATATCCAGATGTCCCAGATCCCCGACAATGACACATACAGCTGTAGTTTAATTCTAAGACAATTTGTTTCATTGGCAGAAGCTGTTGTGGACAACAGTGTCACCCTAATGATGTGATAGAGGAAGTGACTAGCACATAACATCCACCTACATGAGCCATAAAGCACACAATGTTAGCTTATGGTCTTTTTTATTATTGAACAAACAGAGAAAGCCCCAAACAAACGTGCCCCAAACAAACGTGTCATATTAGTCCAACTGTGGTTCTTCATGTTAAAGCATTGCAGCTCTTCAATATATTAAAGTGCACTTTCAGTTTTACAGCCAAATTTTTCAACATTTCAAGATTTTTTTCTCCCACCCAGAAGCTTCCAGTTGTCATCACAGTTCGATTGACATAAAATGCAAAGAGGGCAATGGCGTCCTATAGTGGGGGCTTGTGCATATGTTTCCATGGAAGAACATCCCCTCGTTATTTCTGATTTTGCTTTTGAGTATTTATGTTAGCATCATGTTAGCAATGATTTTGTGATTGTTGACAGCACAGTATCTTAACAAGGCTTACAGATACATGTCAAGAAATTCTGGATATTACTGTACTAATAGCACAACGGAGAAGACAGTGACTGAGTTTTCTTATTCGTTTTACAAAATAAATAAATAAATACATAATGAAGACTTGTATGTCTTTGTATAAATATTTGTTTCTGAAGGTGCACTATGTAACTTTTCTAGTTCAAGGTCCATCACCTCATTTTCTCCATGGAGAGGTTATTGCTTTGCCTGGAATGTTCCACAATATGGCATTAAACTTGTCAAGCTCCATGAAGACAAACAGGTGAGGTCAAATTATTCAGACATTTTTCATTGTATTTTTTGACCAATAAAAGCATCTGTAATTGATAGGGAAGATAGATGGTTTTATGCCATACTCCGTAACATTCCAGACAAAACAATAACATCTCCATGGATACAAGTTACACCTTTTAAAAGTACTTAATTTTAAGAGATTTTTGAAGCGCTATGTCATGCCTTCTTTTAGTTGACAAATCAATGCACTGGGTATGTCAACTTTAAATCAAGTACAGCCTTAAACTTAGTATGTTTTTTGTTTGCAATAAGCCTTAAATATGTACTTTTTGATTTAAACCAGTTCACAATATGCATTATTTCAACAGTAATCCAATTTATCGACATGTTCCTGTGAGCCAACATCTTTGCAATGAGCAGTAAAATCTTTAAAAAAATATTTTCCTATTTCCTCCATGTTATATGGTATATGTACAGGTTGCATTTTTTTTTAACTAAGAAAACATTTTGTTATAATATTGGATCAGGTTTGGCACATAACCCTTCACAGACTCGATAGAAGAGAAATAAGTGCATTGAGCTCTCTCGTCTCAAGTCTAATTTAACCAGGACAGACACACACTAGTCTAAACAAACCTTTTCATACCATTAATAAACAATGAGATGACACAAATAGGAATGTAAATACAGCTCTGGAATAAAGACCACTGCAAAATAGTGATTGTAATGGATTAAAAAAAGAAACAAGAAGAAAATCTGTACTGACTAGTGTATATGATCCCAAAAAGGTGAATGTATTATATTTTAACAGTGGTATAATTTTGTGAATACTTTTTCCAAATAAAACTGAAAGCATATCTTAACATGCAGAATTTAACAGACACAAGAGATTTGATAATGAAGGAAAGATACATTTGCAGTGGTCTCTTATTTTCAGCCGTATATTGTACAAGACATGGCAACAAGCCTAGAAAACATGATAGGTAACAAACATGATATTTAAATTTCACTTCTAGATAATTTTAAATGAAAACGACAAAAAGACTTAAGAGTCAAACCATAGTTAAACTAAGTCTTACAATATTCCAGACTGTGTGACAGGCCCAGCAGGTATAGGGGCTTCTGGTGATGGAGCAGCCTTAGCAAAACAAAAGGAAGGACCACAGCGAAAACAACAATCGATAATTAAATGTAGTGGATATCTGTCTCAGTGAGAAACTATTGTGATGTTTTTTTAGTGTTCAGTCTTGCCTGTGCGACAGAAGCAGTCACAACATTGCCACATTGATGGATGACGAGTCACAGCAAAAAATCTAAAGAAAATTGGAAATGTGTCGAGATGAACAAAAACGCTACAGAAATAACTGAACCAATGAATCACTGCTCCCTTTAAAAAGTGCAATGCGCAACTTTTCTGGTGGAAGGTCAGCCACAACTGTTTGTCTCCATGGAGATGTTATTGCTTAACCTGGAATGTTCCATGATGACATTTAACATATCCATTTAGCATTTATCCATTATGGGTGTTTCTATTGCTCAAAAACATAATAATTCCTTCTGTGAATGGGGGCGAATCTCCACAGATCTGAATTGTAATGCAGCATAGTGCTGTAAGTAGGTTTAATCTATACTCTGGAACATTCTAGACAAAGCAATAGCATTTCCATGGAAACCCTCCACTAGAAATGTTACAGAGTGCACCTTTAACCTTTGTCTAACTAAAAATTATTTCAAAAATATTAATGTTTTACCAGCCACTGCTGTTTATGATCCACTAGTGGGAATCTTTTTAATCATATATTTTTATAATTTTTTCCAATTCATGAAAGTTAAGAAATGAATAAAAAAAGTTCATTATATAGTCTTGGAAATATTTTGTGTATGGTGTACACTTGTACCGCAACATTACAACAAATCGGTATTTATACCTTCATTAACAATCAGTCACTTTACATTAATAAATAGATTAAATAAATAGGGGTATATTTTGTAGTGTTGGTCAATGTTTTTTTTTAGGTAGGTTTCCTTAGTACACCTTCTGAGTGTTCTTCATATAAACATATAATAGACACTGATATTAGCCCTAGTGAAAGATTAGGAGAGGTACAATACTGTGCAAAAGTTTTAGTGAGATCTAAATAAGTTATCTCAAACATATAAATTGAATCAAGGAAAGCAACAAAGGCTGCAATTATAGGCAGTATTTTGAAACTTTCTGTATTAGATCAGCAACACAAATTTCAGTCTTAGTGTTAATTCTGCAGAAAGAACATTTAGTCTGGTACTGGACAAAATTTTCTGTTGTTTCACAAAACTTTTGCACAGTTCCATCAATAAAACATTAGTATATTTAGACACAACCATAATAGACTTGTTACAGTGGTCTTTGTATATCAGCCTACATCAGGGGGTGGGGCTTTTGGTTATAAAGTGCAATCCAGATGCAGGTGGCTAAAGACGCATTTAACTTAGATCTCACGACACTCAGGGCTCACGTAAGGATTGGCACCCGTTCCATAGACAGAGACAGTGGAGGTGGTGTGGGTGGGTCTATTGGGCTAAAGGTATAATAGAAAAATCCTATTCAGTCCTGTCTGTGCCGCTCCGATCACTCCCGGGACTGGTAGAAGAGGATGTAACCAGACTCAGAGTTTTTGGAGATGTCCGATGTGAGTCCATAAAACTCCTCAATGGCCTGTGCATCAATTTTCTGCAAGAGAAAGATGTCCGGTTTCAATAATTCACAATTTAACAGAACAAATCAAAGACTCATAATTATGTCTTTTTCTCTAAATTCTGAAAATCCACAAACACCATATACCGTATTTTTCTAACTATAAGTCACACTTTTTTTCATGTTTGGGTGGTCCTGCCACTTATACTCCGGTGTGACTTATATATTAAAATTTTCACACTGACAGTTGCGAGAGGGTGCTCTAGGCTTGTGTCTCAGTATCTGCTGCTCCTATTACTCCTGTACCACTGCGCATTTCTCCTGCTGCAAGTAGTGAAATATGCAGTCAAAAACAGTAATCGAGTAGCATAAAGTAAGTTTGGAGTGAGCGAGAAACCTGTGAGGGATTGGCAGAAAGCGGGGATGGAGAACACAGCTTCACAGTAACTGGGAGGGTGCCTCATGCAACTTTCCTGGAAGTCATTGGATGGATCGACAAAGTCTGGACTTCAGTGACAACCGAAACCATCCTGTTGGGATTTAGAAAGGCTGGAATAATTCTAACTGAACTGATACTGAGTCTGACGACAGCTACGCAGAAGAGGAAGCGGTGCTCTGTTTACCTCCGATGGTCACGGATTTGCTCAGAAGTGACACTGAGGATGAAGAATTCAGTGGATTTAGTGATTTGGAGTGAGATGGAGAGTTTGGTAAACTGGTTCTGTTCTGTTGTTTATGCCTTAGTTATCTGAATAACTGTTCATATCTTACGTTAACAGCCTGTTGCTCTCTTTTTTGTTACGACTTGCCTTTCAAGATGAAATGTTGGTTCCTGGTCTCTGATTTTATCAAATATATTTCCCCCAAAAAGTGTGACTTGTATGTTTTTTTCTTCTTCATTACGCATTTTTTGGCTGGTGCGACTTATAATCCGGAGCAACTTGTAGTCCAAAAAATACAGTACATTGAATTATTCAACAGATCAACTGAAAAATTATTATAAATCTGTAATGAAATAAATATTATCTGAATCAAATAACCAATTCACACCCTAACATATAAGCCAAGAAGCTAAGAACAGGGAGCTGAAATAAGGCCTACCGCAGCCACATAGTCAATGTACTGTATGCTCTTTTTAATAATTCAAGGCAACATACAGTATATAAGCTATATTCCATTATGCTGGCTAGTAATCTGATGAAGATAAACACTTTTTTATCCCTACTTATACATATAGCCAGTAGAGCATTAAATATAGCGACAATAGATGTATAATGCAGTTTAAGTATATTATAGAAGATGAGAAGTATAGTTAAGAGCAGTATGGATAGATATTCATTCATTCGTTCATTACAGGGGCAGGTTAGACAGTGTTCACAGCTGGAGGGCAGGAACAGAGGTTTAATGAGTAAAACAGTCAGTCCAATGTGATGATTGGGGGAAGAGTGAGGGGAACAGAGTGATCCGAGTGACGCACCTCCACAATGTCATCGTCGAACAGCAGCCAGAATCCGTGACTCTTCACTATGGTGATGTAATGACCTCTGTTTGGACCGCTGGGAACAAACAACAATTACTCTTAATACAGAGTCCATCACTGCTCTGAGTAGGAGAGGAGTCATGGGCATGTGTTTGTTGTTTTATTCAAAGAAATTATCCTGGAAAATCCCACTCAACTTAAGGAAGGTTTTATCTATTCTACTTAAAGAACAAGTCTCTCGAAAAAGACGTAGAAAGGTGACATTACTAGCTGGCAAATATATCAAAAAACGATAATACAAAAGTGGTGTGTGATAATGAAACAATCCGTGTATCATTCATTCATTTGTTTTTTAATATAAAACCAAAAATAAGAAAATGAAAAAACAACTATTTTCTTCATTATTTGTCTCCAAAACCAAAATGAAAAACACGGATAACAATTCATTTATTCAGTTTTCGATTTTGTGTTTGAATGAATAATGGAAATAACAAATAACGGCTGTTTCCGGTTTGGGTCTCAGTCCTGGTCCCGGTCTCGGTCCCGGTCCCAGTCTCGGTCCCGGTTTCGGTCCCGGTGTAGTCCAGGTTTAGTCCTGATTCAGTCCATATGCGGCGCAAAAGTCTGACATCGCAGTTTAAGTAACGGAAACAGGAATCATCCGTTTTTTCATTTTGGTTTTGGAGACAAATAATGAAGATGAGCAGTTGTTTTTTCATTTTCTGATTTTTGGCTTTATGTTGAAAAACGAATGAATGAATGATACACGAATTTGAAACCATAACTTATAACCATAACTTTTACCAAAACTGCCATTACTGTGCCCCACTTGTAGTGAATAACTCATGTCATCTAGACTGTATTTCTTAATTTACCACTTAGAATTCCTTCTGATTTTCCTTAAACGCCTGACTAAAACTTTCCCCAAATTCAAATGCAATCAGTATGAACCTGCTGAGAGACATGGACTGACTGACAGTAGATTTAACATTTGTTGAGACTTGATAATTCCATTTTGAAAGTTGAAGCAAAACTCACTAAAAATGTGATTTCTGGACCCGTTATCTCCTTATGTTGTTGGCATGAATGTTGACTTACCTGCCACAGTGCACTACCACAGCCACCAGGTCGTACATGCGGTCCAGGTTCACGGCGTCTGAGGATGTGTTGAAGAGGCGCAGCTCCAGGGGGAACACCACGCGATACGAGAGCTTTGTATATCTGTGCAGCTGCTCCATGTACTTAAACCTTTTCAGATGGAGGGCCAGGATCATGGGCAACTTCTTCACACGCATCCTGAAGGTGAAAGCAAACACAGAGAAGAGAAAGCAGGTCAGAAATGAGGTTCAGTGTTTAAATCATGCTACACACCATCATTGGATTAACCTCAAAAGGACAATATCTATGCAGAGAGGTCTATAGTCTCAGGGCTGTGTAACTAATGTTGGCACTGACCGTTTCTGGGCTTCTTGTTTGCTGCAGCACATCTCACAGTAATATTTGTATTCACTGCACAGCGTCTCTGTGTTACTGAAGTCCCTGGAAGAGAGAGAGAGAAGGGGGGGTGAGGGCGGAAAGGACAGGCGCCGGGGGGCATCGGTCACTCAGTTCAATCAAAGGAACCTGTCTGCAGCAGAATGGGGAATGGGGTTTTTAGCAGCACAGAAGGGAGTACCTGAGACAGTGTGTAATAGATGTGTTCTGCTCCACATCCACAGACAGGTCCAGGAAATCCTCATCTTTACTGCTCACCTGAGGAGAACAAAAAAAAGACAAAATGTATTACTTTAGTCACATGCAGGAGATTAAATCAAACAAATAAACAGGCAATGATCTGCACAACATGTTTAACAAAAAGTACAACTCAATTAAATGAAACAAATAAACTGAAATGCAGCACAAGGCGTGACTGAAAATTCTGATTACCGGTACTATTTTTATTTATTTATTTTTTCGTTTTTGTTGAGAAAATAATACTTGAATGTGCTGTATGAGAATTGTATACATTTTTCATAATGGCTGTCTTTCCATTTACACTGTGTGCATCATGTTTTTTGACAATAACTATACTTAAATGGCAGCATGTATGAAGAAAATAAACCAGATAAACAGAATACTGTGGGTGTCTGGTAACTTGTTTTAGAATCAATAAAACTAGACAAGTCTCTCAAAAAAGAGACAGAAAGGTGCCATTACTACCTTGCAAATATATCAAAAAACAATAATACAAAAGTGTGTTATAATGAATCCATTACTTATAAACATTACCGTTACCAAAATTGCCATTACTGTGCCGCACTTGTAGTGAATAACTCATGTCATCTGAACTATATTTCTTAATTTACCACTTAGAATTCCTTCTGATTTTCCTTAAATGCCTGACTAAAACTTTCCTCAAATTCAAATGCAATCAGCGTGAGCAATCAGTAAAAATTAAACCAGATAAAAGTAATACTGTAGCTGTCTGGTAACTTGTTTTAAAATCACCAATAAAACTACAGTAATCTAAAGGAGATAGTAGCCAGTTTTCTGCTCCTACTGATATAATTACAGTGTATTAGTTAGGGGTGTCAAATTATCGCGTTAATTGCGATTAATTAATTACAGTCATATTTAGCGCGTTATGTTTTTTAATCGCGTTAATCTCATTTTTAATCGCTAACTTTACTGTTTCTGTATGTGAGTTGCTTTATTATAAAACCTGTTTTTATGTGTTGTTGGGACAACAGCACACACACACACACACACACACACACACACACACACACACACACACACACACACACACACACACACACACACACACACACACACACACACACACACACACACACACACACACACACACACACACACACACACACACACACACACACACACACACACACACACACACACACACACACACACACACACACACACACACACACACACACACACACACAAAAAACACATTTATACATTTTTTTATTTCGGTAATTCCACTCATTGCCGGAAAACCACACAAAACGCGCGCAGTAAAAGCGATGTAAACGTCATGTTAACGTTGGCGGCGTCAGAAGAGCCAGTAGAACAGAGGCAGCAGTGCACAGGTAAAAACACATTTGTGTCTTGGAAATTATTCTCCCGACGTGAAATATAAAAGAAAATAACAAATATAAAATCGCCTACAACTTAAATGTCACTGGTGAAAACAACCTGCATAGACTCATGATGTCTGCACTACTGTCCTATAGTGACCTGCCACATGAGGGGACACGCATACACACACACACACACACACACACACACACAAATACACACAAACACGCACCTTCATCATCGTCATTAACCTGAGAACGCGCAGACCACGTTTCCTTCCGTAGTTAATGCGCGGACACCGACGTGCTCCCGTGAGCCGTGTGTGGATCGTGTTTTCTCGCGTACGCTACGTAAACCGCGCTTCCTCCTGTGCGCCTCTAAACCAGAACTAATCCAGTCCAGGACTAAACCAGGACTAAACCAGAACTAAAACCAGGTCTAAACCAGGTCTAAACCAGGACTAAACCAGAACTAAAACCAGGTCTAAACCAGGTCTAAACCAGAACTAAAACCAGAACTAAAACCAGGTCTAAACCAGGTCTAAACCAGGACTAAACCAGAACTAACACCAGGACTAAAACCAGGATTAATCCATTTCAGGACTAAACTAGGACTAAAGTAGGACTAAAGCAGGTCTAAACCACGACTCATATATAAAGCATTTCTCTATCAATGATATTTTTAATATGGTTAAGGAAAGACTGGACTTTTTATTGTCTTTAAGTAGACAAAAGTTATTATGTTCAGATTTCCTCGTCTTTGCTACTTTACAGCAAACAGTTTCTTATTCATGGAGACTTGGACTCAACAGCCAATTTGGAGAGATTTGTTAAACAATAAATGACTTTATAAAGTCACTTTTTTTGTTCTATATCAGGCTTTTGATCTGCCACAATAATGTAATAATGAATTTAAATGAAAATACCTCAAATTGAAGGCATTTCTCAGCAATTTTCAGGTGAGATTAAAATGAGATTAATTAGATTAATTAATTACAGATCATAATTAATTAATCTCTCAATTTTTTTAATCGCATGACAGCACTAGTATTAGTATTAGTCATGTTTCACATTAAAAGTCAGAGAAAGAGTTCTTTCATGACAAAGGCTGATTTGTGCCAAATTCCCACTCAGTTTGAATACTGTCTGAGTGAACAGGTGGTGATACGGGAGCTTAAGTCACCTGTCAGCTTCACAAATAGAGAGACCCTACTGTGAGAGGCTGATTGGCCATGAACACGTTAGTAATCTTCACATGCAAACACACCAATTTACTGACTCAGAGAGGAGAGACCAGCGCCCACACAAGCTAACACACAAACACAATGCAATTTTATACGGACAGCGGTGGTGATTTCAGAGGTTGTTCAGGGCAACCGGTCCCTCTGTCATCTGAGGACAAAAGCTCCTACTGACCTGACGTAAACAAGGAGCTCTGAGGATGGATTCTGTGTCAAATTGTGGCTTAGTAAAAATATCAAGAATAATCATCTATTCTGTTCACTCTTTTTCGGGTTTGAGGTTTCAGAATAGTCTTGATTTATATCAAAATAAGTATAAGACCACTTGTTTTTAATCACATTAATGAAAATACTACTTTAACATTCCATTCTCTGCACAGTGTTTTTATTTAACAGGGTATTGAGATTGATATTGAGAATCAAGTGTTAAGTCCATCAGAGTCCTAAGTGTTCAGAAGCTATTCAAATCCATCCATCCATTTTTGTCAGCTTTATCAGGGACAGGGTTGTGGAGGCACTAGTCTGAGTAGAGAGGTCCAGACTTCCCTTTCAGTGCACACTTGATCCAACTCTTCCATGGGATCCCTGGGTGTTCCCAGGCCAGCCAAGAGACATAGCCCCCCCAGCAAGCCCTGGGTCTTCCCCGGGGCCTCCTCGTGATGGGACATGGCCGGAACAGGAGTCCAGGAGGCATCCAGAACAGATGCCCGAGCCACCTCAGTTGGCTCATCTGGATTACTTGACAGGCATTTGATATATTATATTCTCAAACTGTGGCACATGTACCACTTCATTATATGGGTTTACCTAATTTAGAAATCATTTTATTCACTTTTTTGTCCTCCTTTGGATAATTTCTTGTTTATAACTATGGTGACAATGCTGTAGTCCACTTTTAGAACTGGGTTATCCCTAGATTAGACCTGGAATAGTCCTGTTATATACCAGATTTAGATCTGGTAGTACTCTGGTGGAAAGGCAAATCTTTTTTTGGTGGTAGTATAACCACTGTTATAGACATTTGTCTACTCTATAATTTGTATTATTTATACGAGCATCAGATATTGTAATTTGATCAAACGTGTCATGTAACAACAAAAACATTTAAACGTGCTTCATTCATTTCAGATTTTCTGCTTATAAATCCAGTTCTGCTGTTGGTCCAAAAAAAAACAAAGTACTTGCACCCACCGTCTCACAGTTGAGGCAGCGTGTCTCATTGGTCAGCGTGCCCTGGAAGATGTCGTGGACCCAGGTGGGCTCGGTCTTGTTCTCGGAGTCGGGTTCTGTTGCCGTGGTGACTGCTGTGCCGTTGTTCTTAAGGCGTCCATTTTGTTTCTCCTGCTTCTTCTCCTCCTGCAGGATGTCCGCCACTGTGTTTAGGAGGTAGTTCAGGAACTCATGGGCGTCCTGCTGCATGTAATTATCAAACAAATCTGGGAAGAGAAATTCAAAGTCAAGCCTCTGATCATGAAAAATCAATGAGAAAATAGTTTTGTTTTTTCATAAAAAATTAACAAAACTCCACAATACTGATTAATATGACAAGATTATGCCAATATAAATGTGTTTATTTTGGTATAGCACAACATCACTGAAGCAATGCGTCACAAAAATCAACAGAAGGCTACTTGGAAATGTATTACAAAACTTTTCAGACGACATCACAGTAAATGCACTCGACAGATGGGCTAATGGAAAGAACAGACCACTGCCACTCTGCTCTTCTTTCAGTGAAGAAATACTATGATTAAATGAGCTCTTATGAAACCAGTCCTACAGCAGTGTCATTCCAATGTCACTGTAACCATGTGGCTTACTTTATGACAGCGGTTTTTGGAACAGCAGGTTTTGGGCCACAAGAAGTCATCGATCCCACAGCCAATAGTCTTCTATAAAGGCACACTATGTAACCTTTTGGTTGAGAGTCTGTCACCTGCTTGTTTCTATGGATATGTCACTGCTCTGCTTGAAATGTTCCACAGTACGATAATTAAACAGGTCAACTTTACATTTATTCAATTACAGATGGTTTTATAGCTCAAAAATATTTAGACAAACAGGCATTCTGACTGAGTGGGGTCGCCTCTCCACAGATTTGACTTGTAACTTGGTCTGGTTTGGTCTCCATGAAGACAGAGGTTTAATGCCATACTCTGAAACATCCCAGACAAAGCAATAACATCTCCATCGAAAAAAGTATTTGATGGACCCTCCACCAGAAAAGTTACACAATGCACCTTTAAAACTTAGAACTCGTTTTCAGGAAAGAAAGTCACAGACAAAACCAAACTAACCTAATTCTGAGCTTCAAATGGGATTACTAAGAGGTGGAACAAATGGGCAGTGATTAAATTTAAATGGATAATTAAAAGAAAAAAAAAGAGAAGAAAATTAATCTGAGGCGACAAAATTCAAACTCATGATTTTTGTCACTGCAAAGAACATTCTAATTTAAAAAGTAGGTCAAAGGTTTGGATTTGCTCCCCAAATCAGTAACTTTAGACACATTCAGGCTTAAAGGTTTCATTAATTGTAACGTGAAGAATCAGGGCTAAAACTGACCACCTTAACCTTGATTAGAAGTACCAAACTGTAATGTTGGGCAACTGTGTGTTTTTTTTTCATTGTGTGAAAACCTGAACTACAGGAAATTCTTTGTCTGTAAAACTAAGGGGAAGGAGCAAACTCTACACAGAAAGTCTCACCTGGTCTGGGAAACAACACTTCTTCATGTGAGGCAGTCATGTACCGCTGTGCCAGTAAGAACAAGGTTTTTGGTGGTGTCACAAAAAATGTCAAAGAACTAAAATAAAGACTTTATTCATTCCAAAGCAAATAACCAATTATGTGTGTGCTTAGATTAAACTGTGCTTTTAATGCAAAGTCAAATTTCCATTAAAAAGTTTCGACAGTAAGCCCTATCCTCTGGCAGCACAGATAACACCAGCCTTCTCTTGTTGATGGACCTCCGTGTAAAAAGTGAAAGAGGAGAAGAGTGGCAAAGAGGGGAGAGAGAAAGAGAGAGACAGAAAGAGACAGAGAGCATAGAGAAAAGGAGAGAGAAAGAGAGAGAGCGCAGAGGCAGTGGACCAGAGCCCCAAACCAAACACAGACATCATTGTTCAGACGAATAAAGAGCTGCCTCAAAACGAGAGAGAACAGGCACCGTCTCTGTCGAGTCCACTGCACGAGTGACCTTACCACCAACACGCACTGCCCTTCACCCCAACATTCACAATACTGCAGATAATACTACAAATAATACTACAAAGCATGGAGAAACATCTAAACACATTTGAAGACAACACATAAATAAACCAGATCAAAACTAGACGCACAGAGGTGACATGAACTCTATGAATGCAACATTTGTATGCCACAATTGTAAAGATATAGTGCCTAAATCAGAAGCTAAATGTTACAGTGGGCTTCAACATTGATATTATACATCTGATATAACAAGGGGCAAAAATCTATGGAAGCACGGTTACTTTTTTGATTGCATTTACACAAAGACAATATACATTTTCAAAAGCTATTTCACAACATAGAATATTCCAAGAGCATTAATATGATTGCATTAAAATATGCACCAATCACTGTAGTTATTAAAGAGTATTGCACCTGCCATGACTCCACACATACCTGCAGTCCAGTGCACGAGAGGAATGTGCTCTGAAAATATTTGGACTATTTTGATTTAAATTCCACAGAGGAAAAAAACTTAATATAGCTGTTCATTGTTGATACATGTGGTACAGGCTTAATGTGTGATGCAATGGTGAAGCTGAAAAATGATAACCATATTTAGACCTTCAAAGTGGAGTTATTCTAGGCCCACATTTGTTTTGGAGCATTGCAGCTGTACAAGTCAACACCGGAACATTGACAGAGGGAAGACTGACTGAGCGAAAGGGATGTGGGGCAAAGTGGATGAAGCTTCCAAAAAGTCCATTAAAATTTTTCTGGGGATAAAAAAAAAAAAAAAAAGGTATACTGAAATTTTACATATAAACAAAAGCCTCATCACTATAGAATTTGTTTTACATAATATAAAACACAAACACAATATTTTTTGGTTTCCAATTACCATAATATTATATAAGCCAATCATATTTAATACATATGGGCGGCAGTTACATTAATATTGTTAAAATGAAGATTTGTTGAACTACAGTGAGTTCATGGGGCTAGTTATTCATATTCATGGGGCTAGTTATCAATTATCAGATATAGATAGATATTTCACTCAGGAAATGCAGTCAATAGAAAATCTGGCTCCTTACACACAAAAAAAACACCTGCTGAGCTCATTTTGGTGATAGTTTTCAGCACATTTACAAATAATGGTACTAGATACAAAGCCTGAAACTAATGCTAATTTTATTGATAAGGTTATAAATGTAACAGCACCAACAGAAGAAGGAATAACCAGTATAAAGTATGTTGAGTTAATTTTGCTCTATTTAACATCTGTCCATCCTTACCATTCTCTTTGCGCAGCCGTGAGATGAACTTTTTGGGCGGTATGACTCCCACTTTCTTCTTCTGTGTGGCGATGGAGTGGAACAGGTCGGCCAGGCATGTGAGCAGGTTCTCCTTCTTCTTCTGCTGAGCTTTGTACGCCAAAACGTTCTCCCGGAAAGGCCTGCAGAAGTACAGCGCCTGCAGCACTGAGTTACAGTAGCATGTGTTTCCAAACTGAGGGACAGAGAAGAACAAACCAATAAGTATCAGGTGATCAAATATGACATGTAAGATTATGATTGCCTGTCCATTATTGTCTTATGACTAAAGGTCTACAATGCAGCCACTAACAGACTAACAGCAACAGACTGTGATGCATTGTGTATGCCATCTAAAAAGCTGTAACTTATTCACTACACTGGATGACATTAACTCATATTGAACCATTTCACACATTTTATGGTTGTAGATATAAATAAATGGAGCAAAGATGCATAACAAAACAGGAGTTCTAACTAAGCCAGGTCTGTTTTTTGTTTTTTTTTTTCATTTTAAACCTATTACACATGTGCGTCTATGGTTTATTGACTCATTTACTGACCAATGCAGACCAGGAAAACTCCACAGTAGGTTTAGGCATGTTCTGATTCAGACATGCCATCATAATGTATCCATTTCCAAACATAAAGTATTTCACTCAATTTGTTATCAATTCACTTGTCCCTGGTTGTAATGTATGATATTAGTTTCTGATTGCAACACATAAGCTGCAGGCTCTGTTTTGTAACTGTAATGTCTGATTGCAATGTCCCTAAATAAATAAATATGCCCTTTGGTGTATCTCTATGGGTTTCAAGTATGAAAAAAAGACTCACTGCCATAACAAAACAAGATGTTCTAGCTTTTGAATGATCATTATAATGTTGAACCCTGCATGAAAGCAAAGTACATGTAACAAATCAGGCTTTCTCCAGATGTAAATATGATGAAGTAACTACTGATTTGCATTTTCAGTTTGAACTACACTAGCACAGCATGTCCAGGGCTGGCTGTTTTGTACGAGTTGTGACAGACGTGGAGCACGTTCTTGTCGTTTGTTTTGAAAAATGACACCAGTGTTTTCTGGGAATGGCTCAGTGGGGATGCATGAGGGGATTAGGAGATGCTTACATTGACCAATCCGAAGTAGTGTTCATTGATGGGGAACTGCTCCGGGCCGATGTCTTTCTCCAGAGCAGAGGCATTGGTGCCCTGAGACAAAACAGTGAGGGGAAAACAGATGTCAATCTAGGTTAAAAACATGACCTGTCTGTTTGTGAATATTACAGCACATTGAAAAGTGTTGATTAGAAAATTCTACAGACAACTTGGGAGCACATCAGCACAATGAAAAAATAACTAAATATTAGAGCCCGACGATATATCGGTTGGCCGATATTATGGGCCGGTATGGAGACCTGGAGGCATATCGGCTATCGGCCGATATGCTTGCTGATAGGGGCCGATATTTCACGTGGGCATGTGATATCTCGTTAAAAATCTTAGACTCTCTACGTTCTGTTCATTTAATCCAATTTACAGACAGATAAATGTCCAAATATGTGACTCCGCATCAGTATTTATCTGTGGAGTCATTTGTCTGTGTGTGTGTCCGTACTGTCCCTGAACACACCACAGTCGCATCACTCATGTGTGTTTGTTTACACCCGCAGCAGTGCGCAACACTGAGATTATATTCTTTTTACGGACAATCGGTTTGAGTCTGGATTAAAAGGACATTTATTAGTGCAGACTTGTGATGTGAGGAGGAGCCTGTATGAGCGGTGAGTGTTGGAAATACATCGACTTTGAAGCTAGTTTTGGTCATTTGTTATGGGTTAGCTGCTGTAGCTCCCGCACATAAACAGGCTGTTTTCTATTGGTCTATTAAAGTGATTATATTGGCCGTATATTTGTTACTGGACCTGCATTGATATGTAAATGAGCTGTGAATAGACGTGTGAATTATGACATCTGCGAATATAATTAATTACCGCGGCGCGCACGTATTTACGGCTAAAGGCTAATAGCGCTAGTTTCTAGGTATGGGTCGGTCGTGAACGAAATTACTCTTAGATCCGGCTCTTCGAAGCGAACGACGGGAGCCTGATCCTTATTAGGAGCCGTGTTTTCTGTTTCTCTCACTGTTTTTCTCTTCACGCCGTGTGCAGACTCGTAGTTTGACAGCGGCAGCTGCTGAAAGCGAAACTTTGAGAAATTTGCGTGTACATAGGATAAATTAAAAAAACAAACAAACAAACAAAAAAACAAAAAAAAACAAAAACGAGCATATTTGGCTGTAGTTTAGTATAAAATAAATAAGTCCCGGTTTAGTCCTTTTTCAGTCCTGGTTTAGACCTGGTTCAGTCCTGATTCAGTCCTGCTTTAGACGTGCTACAATCTGAAGAGCTGCTTGGGAGCCAAAAGAACCAGCAGCTTTTAGTGAGCCGAGTCAAAAGAGCCGGTTCTCTAAAAAGAACTGGAATACCCATCACTAGTGTCTAGAATGTGATGCAAAAATGCCATTAAGCCAACCTACTGTCTGTAAATATGATGTAAAGAGGCAGAATAACAATAAATGTTGCCTAAATAAACCCAATTTAAAATCCACCAGAGCCAAACCTATGTTTTTTAAACAATTCAACATTTACAGTGAATTTTTACATCACTAAATATATCGGTGATTATATCGGCTATCGGCAGCTCCAACTCCCATTATATCGGTTTCATATCGGCCACAGCAAAATCCATATCGGTCGGGCTCTACTAAATATTAAAAGATGAGTTCTGAAATATAACACAACAAGCTGCTTTTGTCATACTGGACCCTAAAGTGAAATGTTTAACTGCCACTAAAGGTGTTCACTGCACATTTGCTAAACAAGTATTGTGTCCATTTACAGTGTATTACATCTGTTTTAAGCCTACCTAAAGCTTTTTTTTAAATCAGTTCTTTGTGCAATAATTTTACATACTTTTATTATCAATAGTAAACATGATATTCACCCTCAACCCTGTGTGAAAACTATTGCTACACTGTTTTTGTCTTGAGCATTAACAGAATACAATGTTTTTAAATTCTACTCAACTGATTAAAAAAAATAAAAAATCACTCTCCAATAATGTGTTTGGGGTCTCAAGTTTCCTACTAAAAGAATGGTGCAGTTTGTCTCCAGTGTAAAAGCTGTCATCCAAATAACTTCTTGTCAGATGTAAAATAAAACAGGGGCGCACTCTAAAAGGGCTCATCCTCATCCTGTCACATCAACAAGCCCCCAGAGTGGACCACTTATCTCCTGCACTGCTCTGAGCTCAAAGCTGCTCACATCAAGCCAGGCTTTGTTGTTCGCTGCGATCATTTGGAATGAGGAGAGTTTTCACTCATTTCTCTCCGTCAAAGCAAATCCCTCTTTGTCCAAAGTCTACTTCCAGTCGCACAAAGGCTGCAGCACATTTCATACAGTGTCTATAGAAGACAGGTCAATAAATACATTATAAAGCACTCCAAGCAACAGGATATATTGTTTAGGGATGTCCCAATCACATTTTTTTGCCCCCGAGCCCGAGTCCGAGTCCTTTGATTTTGAGTATCTGCCGATACCAAGTCCCGACCTGATACTTCTATAAAATATTATAAAATGAACTAAGAGCAAAGCAAAAAATCCAGGATGTATGGGAGGATCAGATTGTGTTGATTTCAATTTGTAGAATTTGGTCTGAACTTAGTGTGAAAAATCAAATAATAATAAAAAAAGCATGGAATAAATTCCAGTCCAATTCTAAACTAACATAACATTAAACATTAACATTAAACCACCCACGGCATAAGTAAAATTAAAATGAAACCAGATCTTAATTTCAAAACCACACCAAGAATTAAACAGTCCAGGGTGCAACTAAAGAACGAATCCCGGGCTAACACCTCTACCTTAAATAAAGTCTAAACTAGAATTTAACAGCTGCCTATTCAACTTTAAAACTGGCTTTAAACTGAACTAAATCACAACTAGAGACTGCTGAATAGGGAGCATAGGGTTCTCATCCCACATTTTGTAAAAACACAGGTACAAAGCCAAATCTGAATCAGTAGCATTAGACCCCATCGAAAACTAGGTCTAAGCTGTAAAAAGTTCAAACAGAATCTATAACCAAAGCAAAACTATGAAAACAGAAGATTCTCGTGTATCAGAAGTTCCGTAGCCTATTTTCAGTCCCTCTGCTATGAAGAATGCAGAGTCATTGTTCACCTGAAATAATTAAACCCTCTGCCACTCATGCTCAATGCATATCCTTGACCAACTTTAAAGTTGTTTTTTTTTCCCACAATCTTTCCAATTAAAACTATTCTCAACACTCTCTACCTTGACACAGTATTTCAAAACAATTACTGACAGGTATGCTGAAAATGTAAATACTTTCAAACACTGGCAACACTGTGTGAATACTCGTGCATGGGAAACTTAATGTAAGTAAATATGGTAAATGGCCACAATTTTATATAGTGCTTTTCCACCTTCAAGGCACTTTACAACGAGAAACCACTCACCCATTTACACAAACATTCACACACCAGTGTACGCAGACACTAGGGGCGAGCTGGGTTAAGTGTCTTGCCCAGGGACACAACGACAGCATTCATACGTGGAAGCTAGAATCACACTGCCAGACCCTGGGTCAGTAGATCTGACCGCTCTACCAATTATGTTTTTTATGTTGAGAGCGTGATTCAAACCGCCACTCTCAGTGGACAAACGCTCTACCAACTGAGCTATTGCTGTCCGTATGCGTAAATGTGCACTTATTAAAGTTAGCAATACTCAAGAAGAAAATCTGATGCTCATCTTGCTTTATACTATGGTATTTTGGTATTCAGGGGAAGATCAGGGAAAGGAATGTGCTTATGCATCATTCATATATCAGTATTTCAGTGTGTCAATTTCAACCGTTTTATTAAACTAATGCCGAGAGTACAGTAAATCTCAACTTGGACAAAACCAGCCTGCACAAAAGCAAGACTAAAATAAGAGTAGTTATGGATCCAAATCTGAACACAACATTATCTCCAACAATGAAAATTGTGCACAAATAAGTGAAGGTCACACACACTTAAAAATGCCTACAATAATAATGCATATTTAACCCACTACATACATAATAATGACAATGAATCTACTCTTGCATATAACAGTTTGCAAGTCACACTGCCATCTGTCAGTGCAGTGAAGCAGTAGGAGGAGGCAACTATAAAAGGACTCAAGTTAGAAGCCCAGTTTTAAGCTCACGCCACTAAAGCCTGGGTTTCCTACTCCTACCCTGTCCCTGAACACGACATTAGCACAGATTAGTGCTGCAGATCTGTGCTCTCTTGTTGATGTCCTCCATGCGCAGTCCCATTACGCAACAATCAAAACAACAGGCAGCCTGACACCTGTCACTCACCATTATCATCTTGTTTACACAGACTACTCTACTGTACTGTAGTATTGTACTGTACTGCACTATACTTCATTATAATGCAGAACTGTTCAAACATGATGAATGAAAGACGCACATGTTCAATGGGGGAGAGGGTTGTACTTTTGACTTTGTGCACCAAGATTTAGCGCCATACCTAGTTAGTTTAGTGCTATTACCGGTCTGGGGCAAGGAGGAAGGACTTTAACATTAACATAACCTACACACCAGGGAAGCACACACAATATAGCTGCAGGCAGAGTGATAGCAGCTAACTTACCATATTACAAATGGATGCGATGTTTCGGACAGTCATTTAGTTTACAGTGTCCCCCTCACCGCCATCTTCATAAAATAAACATCATTTCGGGGTTGGAAAGGTAACGCCGAGAAATTAAATGAAGTTAATTCGCAGCCGAGGCAGTCAGCAGCAGCAGCAGCAGCAGCAGCAGCAGCAGCAGGCCAGACTGACTGCAACAACCCCGGGCGACAGCAGCAAGACACGGACACCATGCAAGCAAGCAAGCACGGAGCACAGGAGTGCAGTCAATGCAGGAATGGTGGCATCTTCCTCGGGCAAGTTTGATCACAGAAAACCGCAGCTAAACACTCGATACATGAGTGAATAATGGACAGGCGAAGTTACAGGAAGCAGGTTGTTAGCAACGAGAAGCAAGCTAACCTGCTAGACGAGGAAGAGACTATGCCCCGCCCACTACAGTAAAACGAGGCATATGATTGGCTCATAAGGTTAAAGTTTTGATTGACGGATTTGAACGACCATACAGAAACACGAATAATGAAGCTTTGGTGAACCGTAAGCAATCAGCTGCAGATACACGAAGCAAGGAATTGTGGGAATTGTAGTTTGTTTATTAGATAACCAGCATAATCAAGGAGGATTAATTTGTTTAAAGGTAAAGTAAAACATTACTGATTTTACTAAACTAGGGTGACTAGACGCCCCTATTTACCCGGAACATTCCCAGTTTTGAGCCATGTGTCCTGTGATTTATCCAAAACCAGTGATTTGTTCCAGTTTAATGCAAGAAATGTCCCAGGTATTGCTATTTTTGTTCAATCTGATAACCTGCCAGCAGTAAAAAGGAGTATTGTAATTTTGTAATTTGTTTCGGTAAAATAGAGAAAAGCTGCTTAAAAATGGCTAAAACACAAAGAAAATGTGATTATACTGGCTCACATGTTTGTCATGAATGGTCTCTGCATAACAATTTTCCTTAATTACGCACTTGTTTCACAATTTTATTATTATCAACCAACCCAAACCAGGGATGTCCCAGTTTTTTATTATGAAAATCTGGTCACCCTATACTAAATTATAGTAAGGTTTAGTTTTACTTGAATGTAACATTTTTTTTTATTTTATACCCTAACATATCACAAACACTAGCCTACAACTTTGAACTTTGAAAAGCATTTCCATTCTTTGACATTCATCAATACTGCAACTTCTGGGAAAGTTGATTGAAAAACAAGAGAGTACTAACAATGAAGCAATTATCTAAAATATAGGAGGAAGTCTGTTTTTTTGTTTTTTTTCTGCTGTTAATCAAGTCCAAACAATGGGGTGATTCAGAGGGACCACTTTGCTATTATTCCTAATAACTCAGGTACCCTCCCCAACATCCCCATATAAACAAAAACAACAACAGCTGACTAGGAGGAGGTCTTCAAAAGTTAAATGTCCTTGCGCTGAGCCCTGTGGGACACCTCATACCCCCTGGATGCTTCCATTCACTTCTCCCTTTGTTCATGCTTACACAACAATCCCCAGACCACTATCAATGCAGAAACAAAAAAAGGACAACAACATATGAGCGGCAAACTTCAAAAGCCATGAGAGGTGGGGAAAAGGTATTTGTTGATTTACAGATAGCCCGGCTTGGTTTGTCTGTTGGGGCCTCGGGGAGGAGGATGGGGCTCTGTTGATAAGGTAGGTATGCTTCGGTTCTGAAGTGCTGACCAGTGCTGTTGTGGCTCTCAATAGCTTTGATTGTGAGGAAAATGATTACATGTTTTGGGAGACTGTGGGCACTTTAAACAAAGCACGCCCCCACAATGACTTTCTATTTCGGTTCAGGTTGTTAATAATGACTGTGGGGGTACTGCTGTTTGAATAGGCTGTTTCTACTGGATTTACATTTTATTTGTGAAGGGATGTGTAATTTCGGCTGTAAATGCATGAAAAGAAGTTAAACAATGAAACAATAATAGTGAAAATAGTTTGAAATTATATGTTATATTATACTTGGTTATAATTTTCATAAAAACAAATAAGATTAAGAAAAAAAATATTAAGGCTAGGGTGCCACACATTGTGAGTGAGTCTGTGTTACTTACTCAAAGACATAAAGTATTAGTAGTATAAACTAGAGTTTCGAACTACCAACATTGCACATACCTTTGACTGTTTCCCACTTGGATGCTAAGATTAACTACAGAAAAGACTGTAGCATCTCTTCACATTAACTATACTTTAGAATGTTGGTAGTGAATTGACAAAATTGTTATTTAACTGATAAGTTTATAGTTCAAATACACGGCTCCCACAATTTTGTTCACACATGGCCTGCGTAGTTGGGGTAAATCTATCGTCACCATGTTCACAATAGGAATTATTATGAGACTGTGTTGTTCCAGGGCATTTTCCTAATGAATTAAATCATGAATTTATGGCCAGCAGTTGTAGTATATTCTTGTCATTAATAGTTAGATAATAGTTAATGGAAAACAACAAACTAAGAGTTCCAAATACATGCAGAAAGTCAGTGTTTTGACCCAAGGTTTTTTTCTTTTCAGATTTCAGACAAATCCATTACTTCCTTAACTATTATGTAAGAACGTATTGCTCCACTCTTAAGAAAAAAAAAAACCTTTATATTTTGTGTTTCTGTAATCAATGTGGTTGAACTAAACGGGAAGCCTTTTCTTTTGTCAATCTAATCAACAACCCACATCCTGTCTTTGCTCGACTTAAAAAACAAACACAATAATACTGAATTTCTTAGCACACAAGGTTGACTAACAATGCAACTAACAACATTTGAAATCAAAGAAAAGAATTCCAGTAACAGTCGCTTTCTGGGGAACTAAAAGCAATTTTATACTTTTGCCACTACAAAGTGAATGAGTTTGACAGTTGTTTCCGCACAACAACAATAGTATTCGGAATATGTAAATCCCAGCAGGCTCATAGGGGCATTTGTGTTGATTATTATACTGGCTTAGAGGCATTTTCCTGGCTGCAGAGTTGTCCAGACTGATGGTTGGTTGCTTGGTGGAGGTACTTCAGTGATATTGTAATAAATGTTGGTAAGGATTTCAGAAAAGTGGAAAGGGTTTGGTGCAAAGATACAGACACACATTTATGGCTGTAGTAATTCATTTATTTTTATATTGTCAGTGAACATATAATCCTGATACTTTGACTGCATATGAATACAAAGTACACAATATACAAGAATATATTTGTGCAAAACTAGAAGTGCAAAGCATTGTTGAAGTGAGTTATTATTGTTGAAGTGAGTTATTATTAGTGAAGTGAGTTATTAGAGAGGAAGAGAGGAAGAAGCTAGTGAGTGGTTCTGGTCTGAATGGGCTGCAGCAACTGGCACCCACATAGAGCAGATAAAAAGATCTTCATGAAAACAAATTTGTCTGCAAGATTTCTTATCTTCAAGGATATAATGACAAGCAAACTTTAGAATTATATACTATAGATAAAGAAGATTGCGCTCAATCACAAGTGTGTGAAAGGTGAAGGTGAAGCCGAAGTGAGTGCTTATTGAATGACAGCAAATATTATAATTATATGAATTACAGATAACTTCTCCTAGTTACATAAGAAGAACATTTTTGCTGTCTAAAAAAATTAAATAGAAATACAAAAGGGAATCTGAATACACTTGCAAAAATAAAGTCACATTATATAATTATGCCTTACTTGACAGTCTCTTGTTATTTTTGCTACTTACTTTGAATGTATGGATGTATTAGGGATGTAACAATAACTGAAATATTGTGATATCGTATCATCAGAGTTCTCACAATAATATCGTGGACCATCACAATATATCGAATTACAAGTCTCTTTGCTTAAATTAAGAGTTATGGTGGAGCAATAACTAAAAAAAGAACTCAATGTAGACTACAACATGAAATCTAATTTAAGAAGAAATTTAAGTCTTAGTTCTTTGGATTAAGTCTTGTCAAGGCATTTTATATTCACAGTTTTATTTGCCTCCACAAAATATCACAATAAATATCGTACCATGAGATGTATATTGTGAAAATATCGTACAGAGAGATTTGGATATTGTTACATCCCTAATCGTGAGCTTCCCCATCATATCATGAGCTTTCCCACAATATTGTAATAAATATTGTATCGTGAGGTTCATACTGTGACGATATTGTATTGTGAGACTAGGATATTGTTACATCCCTTATTATTACAATTTATATTTTTGCTCTTAGTTATTATGATATATATTGTATTGTGTGAAATGTGTCCAAATAATTCCCCTTGTGGATCAATAATGTTAGTCTAAGTCTATGTCTATCTAGTCATTTTGTCATAATACATCACACAGAGCAGCAATATTGCCAAAAAACCTCTTCATAATTTCTGTTTTCGAAGTGTATGTTTAAAGAGTAGTAGGCACAGCTGAGTGGTTCTCATGTTTATTATAGTGATCTTTCAAACATGTCTTACCTCAGTCTGCTTTGTCGCATAACAGATCTAATAGCGTGGCTAAAATAGACCTATGGAAACAATAATACTACTCAGTTTTCCGGGTCTGGATGTCTTATCTGAAGAAAACAAACTGGTGTCCATGACCACCAATGACTTCCTGTCGATAAAATGCCAGTTTGCGTGATTTGAAAATGTGAAAATTATGCTTTCTGTTCCTCAAAAGAATGTACTGCAAATTTGTGTTATGTCCTCACTATAACAACAAGACTTTTACCTCACCACTCATGGATTTTTCTGGCAGGCTTAACCAAGAGACACCGACTGTAGACACGGACAATTGAGTCTTAATTATAAAGCTTTTAGTGTCTATTTTGATCCACCTTTTTCTGTTCCTCAATAGAATGCAAGATCATGTGGAAAACTACAGGTAGTGTGATTCATCTTGACAGTACAGAAACACAGTGTACCCCACACCGAAGCATCATTCGTCAGGAACAGCCCTGGAGTGTGTGTTTGACCCCAGGGAACTCAAACACAGCCTGACTTAAAATAATGTATCAATGTGGCAAGCAGGAGAAATGGGCTTTGGACATGGAACAGTCCAAACAGAATGGAAATGACTTATTGGCAGCACATGGAGGAGTTTTGGCTAATGTTGAGCACAGGATGTTCTGATGGGACTCATGTGGTTACCTGTTTACAGTGGACCAGCTCCTGTAAACATCAGAGCAGGGCATGCTGGGTAATGGCACAGAGAGCCTGGGATATCAATAGGGACTAACAAGACGGGAAGAGACTGTAAATGGATAATGAATGGTAGTAGGCATTGGTCTTCCTGTTTATTTCGAGTTGAGAAGGTTTATTCAAAGATTAGAAAATGTTTTGGGTTTTTTTGGTGCTTCTTTGTGCACAAAAATATAATTGAGGAATTGT